CAACTATGTTAATTCTAGTCCAAAAAGTAATATGTTACAAATATGAGAAAAATGTGAGAATAGTGAGATTACTCATGCTATTAATATTTCACTTACGGAATGATTTATGTTTACAGAAACAGAAATATCAGCTAAAAAGCAGAAAGAAACATTCCTGCATGATAGATTAAAAAACAGCTATCACTGTGGCTTAGTCCGATTAGTTCACTGACCTGTAGTGTATTCTCCCTCGAGAATAAAGAAACAATCTCATACTTTAATCACAAGGCACGCTATGAGAACTCTTTAAGAGGTGAATCAGCAGGGTAGTCAGCAGTATGCTGCCACACTGTTTAAGAGAAGTGTAAAGCCTTACTCATGCTATAATGCACATCATTACAGCTTACAAAAAGACTAGAGTGAAAAGGAATTTAAGAAATATAAAGGATATTACAATAACCAAGGATATAACAAGGGATCAGAATTCAAGATTAATCAATTGCTATACAAAAACAATACATTATCATTTAGATATGAAGGCACTGCTTTGTTTACACAGCTTACTGTAAAAGTGTTAATCTAATGTGTTGCCAGATTTGCTTTTCAGTGAGTTAAAAAATTTTCTGCACCCTCATGCCAGAAGGAAATCTTAGCACTGTGACTGAGTTTGTCCTCACTGGATTCCCTGGACTTCATCCACAATACCATGGCCTTGTCTCAGCCGTACTGTTCTTAGTTTATTTCTTAACTTTGATGGGCAATGCTATAATTATTTTTTTATTTGTAACCGACTGCAGCCTTCATAAGCCGGTGTATTATATAATTCTAAATCTGACTGTATGTGACACTCTCTTTAGCACAACCACTTTACCTAAGATTATCAGTAAGTACTGGTTTCATTCAGGGACCATCTCATTCACTGCTTGTTTTGTCCAAATGTACTTTGTTCACTACTTTGGTACAGTGAATTCCTATATTCTCTTCTTAATGGCTTTAGACAGGTATTTGGCTATCTGTCATTCTCTCAGATATTCACTTATTCTTCAAAATTCAACAATCTTTATTCTCAGTAGTCTTGGATGGATTGTTGCTAAGGCAGGTCCTTTAATGTTAGTTATTAGGGCGTACCCTCTTCCTTACTGTGCATCAAACATAATCAGTCACTGTTACTGTGATCATATTGGTATAACTGTTACGTCTGTGACTCGGGCCGC